CCCAGCCTTCAGGAAGGCCGAGGCTAGCCTCAGCTATAGAATGGGCCCAGGATCAGCCAGAGCCTGGTGAGACCCAGTCTCAGAACACAGTAAGGCAAGAACAAAAACCAAACCCCGGTGTTTACCTCCTGCGGTTACCGCAGCATATGGAAAGAGTTTAATGTATGTCAGCTGTTACATATATTTTATTATTTTGAAATATTTTGTTGCATTATCAGTCCACCTTGGAGCAAACATTCTACTGTGTGGGTTCTCATTCACAGCAGTGCAAAGCATTTCACCACCAGGTGGGGGGGAGGGACAGCCTCAGAAATCTCTCCCTCCAAACGATACAGTTGGCAGTCTTCCTTAATGGTTTATCTGCTCCCAACCTGAGAACTGATCTTTTGTCCTTGACTCTCTTTCAAACTTAGTGTGACATCTATGTTGAAGGGGCTATAGCTTCTAGAATGGACAAAGAGGAAAAGTCTTCGAAGGGAGCAGGAGATCTCTGCTTTTCATCTACGTAGGGGAAGAGATCTCCGACCTGCCTCAAAGCAGGGAAAGGGCCCTGATGTAATTCTGAAATTCCTTTGGGGTCTACAACCTATGGCTTTACTAAAGGACCCTGGTGACAACCCTTGGGGCCCAGCCTTCCTCGGGTGCCTCACCTTCAAGTCGAACACCTTCTTGTCACAGATGCTGCAGATGTGTGGCAGGTGGAGCGGAGCCACGCCGTGGAAGTCATTCAGCTCCTGAGCCTGCAGAGGTCTCACGGACAGCACCGTCTGCTCCTCCTTGGCCCTCCGCCGGGAACAGCTGAACCCCTGCTTGCTGTTGTTAAGCCGAACTCCAAAGGCAGGAGGGGTCCTGTCTGAAGTAGGCTCCTCAGGATCATAGAGCTCATAGGGCTGGCTAGCAGGCGGGGGCCACATGTTGGGTCCTGCTGCAATGTCAGGCTTGTTTGGGCCAGAGAATCCAGGGGAGCTCTCCCACTGACTGTTCGTACCTTGCAACAGCCCACCAACCTCCCCTTTCATGCCCCCAGCCTGTTCAGCTGGAAACCCACATGCTACATGTGACCCTTGGGCATTGGGTCCATAGAAGTCCTTAGAGAAGGTAGCTTGGCCATCCTGCCCTGCGTGGCTGTAGTGCCCTTCATAGGCCACACTACCTGATGCTGTGGCCGAGGCCGAGGCTGGCAAGAAGCCAGTCTGACCCTCTGTTTCAGAACCATAGGCCTGGCTCGGGTTGGCTTTGCCGTACTCATAGAACCCCGCAGTAGCTGGGGTTGTCCCAGCCTTTCCAATGCCCAGGATGACTGCCGGCTGGGCAGTGGTCTGAGGCATCACCCCACTGAAGGGGTGTACCACCACAGCATTGGGGGGCTGACTGGGGAGGTTTACAGAAGGTCCCGGACCTCGTGCCTGATTAGGGGGTGAAAAGGCAACTGTATTGGAAGGAAATCGGGTACTAGGTATGGTGGCAGCATGCTGGGAAACCCCAGTAGGTCCATGTGGGGTACTGAGCACAGACGGATGCCTCAGCTGGTTGAAGAGAGGCTGGGACATGGCCACTTTGGAGAGAACTTGATTCAGGACCGTGGCGGCCGCTGTGTTGTTGGTGACAGCTGTCTGTGCCAGCTTCAGCCGATGGAGGGTGAGCTGGGCCTGCAGCTGGGCCAGCTGGAGGCTGGCTGGCGAAGGGAGCAGAGGGTTCTGGTTACTGACTGAGAAGGGGCCCTTGTCCAGGAGCTTGGCAGCACTGTAAGGAGATAAGAGGTCCACATGCATTGCTAGGCTTCAGTGAGTGGCCCCTTCCCCCATGTAAAGAAGACCCCACTTCATAGATCCTACAAACAAGTACTGACACGTTAGGAAACGCCCAAATCTCCAGTACAAAAGGCTATAATGGCAGAATGGTCAGTCTCTCTGGTGATTGGAAGCAACCATTACAAACAAACACTTGACTACAAAAGCCTTCAAGATTACAAACAGATGAGAGATAAGGTAGAAAAAAATGTCAGCCGGGTGAGGTAGCCCAGAGCTGTAGGAGACCAGGAGAGAACGATGTCTCAAGTTTGAGGTTAGCCAAATAGCAAGTTCCAGGCCAGTAGGGGCTACAAAGTGAGATCCTGTCTCAAAAGAACAAAACATAGACAAAGACATAATGTATCATATATCGTTGATAAAGGTGATTTGTAATACATAGCCGTTACTGTCATAGTCCCTGACTCAATAATTCAATTATGAAAATACATCCCAAGGCAAAACTTGATCATTGAAAATGTCCCTATGATACTATTTAATGGCTGAAAATTAGAACATCCAATAATAGGGAGATAGTTTGAGCAGAGTAAGTTATGATATATCTATATAACAAAACATAAGTAACCATTTTCAATTACTTTTTGAATGTATACATTATTGTTGAAACATTTAAGACATTCAGAAAGTTTTGCCCAGGACCAGAGAGATGCCTCAGTGAGTGCTGCTGTCATGCCTGACACCTGACTCGATCCCCAGGTCCCTCGGTGGAAGGAGAGAACTGGCTCTCACAAGCTGTCCTCTTGAGCTCCACAGGCATCACGACATACGCACACGCCTGCCCCATAATTCATAATAATAATACATAAAGTATCTATAGAGTCTGTGCTCTGTTCCATGCACAAAATAAAAACCAGTCCAGCAAGCTAACTCCCACATGGTAACTCCCCACATGCTAACTCCCACATGCTAACTCCCCACATGCTAACTCCCACATGCTAACTCCCCACATGCTAACTCCCCACATGCTAACTCCCCACTTGGCTCTTGCTCTCCACTCCCATGATGATGAGTTCATCACTGCCATTGATAAGCAACATCTTGCATTTGGCAAAAATCACTGGTTCAAAAAATTATCACTTAAATTATATGAGAAAACCCATATGCTTCTTGGCTTGAAAACCATACACAGAATGAACTGCATACATATTGACGATACACATTTTCTTCCTAGTCCTCAGTCCAGAGCCAAAAATAATGACAGCTTTGTACACAGAAGTAGTATGTGCAACGACCAAAAATATTATAAATGAAAAGGATCTAAACTTGAAGTAGAAGGTGTTGGTCAGTTTTCACAGAACCTTATGAGAGGTGGGAGGAGCCCGCCCCGCCACGTGTCGCCACGTGTCTTTCTTGTGCCCCGTGTCAGGTGGCTACTGCGTTTCTGGGCAAACCGGGAATGGCCTTGTCTACACATGGGACAGACTTTCCCAGAGAAGCCGGTATATGTGGCGTCCACAGTTGAGGCTTTCAGGCAAACCATATTTTCTGGGTTTTAAGTTCTCCTTGTGGGAAGCCAATGTAACCAGGAAATGTGTTCTAGATTCGGTGAAATGGAATTCTGCTGCATCTGAACGGGGTTGTGAATGAAATCTGAAGTCTGGATTGACGGACCAGGCAGCCTGCACAATCAATCTGCTTAGGAAGATGAAGCTGCAAAGGGACACACAGCTGTGTCCTTCAGTCTCCCCTGTCACGAGCACTGGGCAGTAAAAGCTGAATACAGTGAAACAGGGAGGGAAAGAGGGAGGCAGCGAGAGGTGGGGAGAGAGAGGCAAAGAGGCTGGGGGTGGGTTGGGGTGAGGAGAAAAGGACAGACAAACAAGGGTGTGGCACGCCACACCTTCCTCCCCAGTGCTCCTTTGAGGAATGCTTAGGTTTCTCTGGGAGGAGGTAGAGAGACTATGCATGCTCACCCGGGTGATGCTCCCGTGACCCCTGGGGACTTGGTGCATTCTCAGGGGGCACACCGGATAGGTCATTTTTATCTCAATTGTGTAAAGCAAGAAGATAGAGTTCTGAACACTCACTGTCATTGAGGAAAGAGTGTTCAGCCTGTGGGACCAACCCCAACCCCGCAATTAAAGTGGAACCCTCTGGGCACTATGTGTGCATCCTCCTGGGCTGCTTGTGTGTTTGAAGTGAGATCCCAGAGCACGAGCCACACCCACACTTAAGTACAAGAACAAAACACACTGCCATGCCAGATTTTTTTTTCCCCTTTCCCTTTTGTGTGAGGAATCAAAAACTTTTTTCAAGTTCTTTAAGAGACACCCAGTTAGCAACCATGCTGGGCTCTGAGACTGGCTGCATTTTAAGATATGGGGAAGGATGCTAATGGTATTCTGGGTCTTTTCCCTCTGGGGATTGTGCAGGTGGCAGCCAAGCTTTGCAGGGCCCTTGGCTTGGGTGGCACACCAATCCCAGCAGAAACAGAGTGGGAGGGGCCAACAACTGTTGATGAAGTCAAGATGAACCGAAAGGCGGGATGGTCCCGTCAGATGCGTGATTACAACTTGTGTACTACTGAGCCTTAGAAGGCTGATTCAGCTTCCCCCAAACCTGCCAGCACAGGGCCAGCTCTTCTTCCCCCAGACTTGTCCACCACACAGACTGTCCTCGCAAACAAGGCGCTAATGAGGTGCCAATGTGGTTTCTATGACCAGAGGAGCACAAAGTTGGCTATGTTTTCCCCAGAGAAGTCAGCTGTGTTTTTAAAACTTGAATTCTGGGCTGGAGTAAGTGCTCGGTAGGAGTTCTCCTCTTGGCTGTTGAAAGGCGATGTGAGGAAGAACCATCTCCCACTAAAAAAAGCCACCCGAGCAGCAGGTCCGTCAGTCAGATATGGGAGGCTGCAGAACCTCATAGTTCAGAACAAACATACAGCCAGATCAGAATCGCACTGTTCAGATCAGGAACACAAGTAGACCAGAACTGCACCGTTCAGATCAGGCCCACAAGCAGACCAGAACCACACCATTTAGATCTGGCACGCAAGCAGACCAAGAACCAGATGTTTCCAGCTTCCGCTTTGTCTTGCAAATTCTCACTGTGCCCAGTTTTACTTAACCTCACACAGAAGTGATTTCACACAAATCATCCACACAGAATAGCCCTTTTAAACCAAAATCTTGGATGGGAAAAAGATTAATGGTTATTGAAATGGGGCAAAAGTCCTAAAATTCTTAATCTGAAGGGTTCATAGCCTAGCCAGGCACCTGTAATCCCAGCACTGAAAAGGTAGAGAGGAGAGGGGCAGGTAACTTAAGGCTAGTATTGAGTACGTGAGTTTGAGGATAGACTGGATTTGAGTCTTCTGTCTCAAAAGAAAAAGGCAGAAAAGGAGGGAGGGAGAGAGGGGCGGGCGAACAACATTTATATGCTTACAGTGTTCTTGGAGTGTCTATTTCAAGGTTTTACTGCTCTGTTTGAAGAGTCCCCAGAACACGAGGCACACCCACACTCAAATCCTAATACAAACACATTTCAGAGCCAGATGAAGACGGCTCTGTTACTCTTTTTCATTTGTGTCAAGAACCAAGCTCCGGGGGTGGGGGTGGGGGGCAGTGAGTCTTGGAGCCTCTTGATTTTTCCCAGAAGACTGCCTCACACTTGGGTGGCTGTGGTAACTGCCAGGAACAAAATAAGGAAGAAGATAATGGCTGTGGCTTATCGAACCTGGCCGTTGGGAGATGTGGGCAGAATATGCTTTATGTGGATAAAGTACCTCAAATAGTTCAAAATGGAGTTCTGAACTATTTAGGAGCGCACAGCTCCTAAATGGAGTTTGGTGTTGACGAGCTGTGACCGTCACTCACCACCCGCCACAGCACAGGCATTTCAGCACACTCCTCTCTAAGACTAGATTTTGACACCAAACGGAGGCTGGAGAACGGCTCAGCAGTTAGGACCACTGGCTGCTCTTACAGAGGACCAAGGTTCAATGCCCAGAAACCACATGGTATCTCATAACACTCAGTAACTCCAGCTCCAGAGGGTTCCGCACACATGGTACATAGACATACACGTAGGCAAAACACCCACACACATAAAAATAAGTAAATATTTTCTTATTTTTTAAGAGAAATTGGATAGATAATTGAATCATGGTCCTGCAAAGACATTCACATTCTAATCTGCAGAGCCCATGAGAGTCACCTTTCATGGTAACAAGGACTTTACATGGTGATTAAATGAAGGACCTTGAGCCTGAGAGAAGATCGCCTGGATGTTACCAAGGCCTGCTCGGTACAATCACAAACGTGAGGGGGGCAGGAGTCAGAGACAGAAGATGAAAACAGGGACCAGAGAAAGAGAAAACGATGTACTGGTATTTTTGGAAGTAGAGGACAAGACTGTGAGCCAAACAGCGTAGACACCCTTGAGAAATTCAAAAAAGGAGGGGGAGGGAAGTTCCTGAAGAGCCTGGGCAGAGGGCAGCCCTGCTGACACTTTGACTTTAGATCTACTGAGGCTGGTCTTAGAATCTGACTTTCAGAAATGTAATAAAATTATATTGCCTTACACTATCAAACGTGTGGTTCTTTATTGCCGCGCCAACAGGAAATGACTACGGTTTCCCCAACACCCAAGACTAAGGGTGACTCTGCTTAGAGAAGCTGGGGTGAGCCTGGGGACCGCCTGGGTGTTGTGGGGATGGACAGATCCTGCTAGGAGCCTGGCTAGCACAGAGGACATAAGGGGACCATCTAAGAGGTTGGGAAGCTAAGGCCACCAAAGAACTCCCCAGAGGAGCTGTAGGGACCGAGCAGAGTCAGTGTACCTGGGATAGATGTTAGAAGGAACAGCTGTTTTTTTTTTCTTGACCTTGAAGAATCCTTGTGCAAAACAGTGTTTGTTTTCCACGATTTGTAGAATTGTTTTACTGAAGGGGCACGGCGTGCCGTCCCATGACTTTGGTCACAAGACATTCCAGGCACACCTGAGGCTCCTGTATTATTGTGTATTGCAAACGATACATAATAAAGAACCAAAGTCATGAGGGCCTGTGATGCTGTCCTTCAGTAAGACATGTAAATTAGATTAGGGACCTTGGTATGAGGAAATAGTTCAGGTAACAATAAGTATGTCTTTGTATGACTTTCGGGGTTCAGTCCATTAGAGAGGCTGGACCTTCCTGCTTCCACATAGGCCTTAAAATTTCATCTTGGAGTGCCCCCCCTTCTTTTACCAACCCAGCTACATGGTGCACCCTGACACAGAGGACTCTTAAAAGCCAGCTCACCTTATTCGTGAGGACAGCAGCAAACAGAGAAAGCTTGGGATTGCAGGATGCTAGGACTCGGCACTTTCAATCCCTTATCCCCACACATAAAAGTTAACTTGTCCCATGTCACAGAGGTGGCCGCTGGTGGCACCTCAGTGAGAACCAGGATCATCCAACCTTCGGTGCGTGGGAGAATCGCCTTAGCTTGGAAAAACCTAACTAAGGCCCAGGACTGTCTACCTTCCTCTCCCTTGAGTGACTGATTGCGATTACCCACCCTGATGCACGAGTCACCCCGTTGCCGTCACTCAGAGGGACACAGAGGTACCTGCCACACGCAATGCCTGCAAGGCATCCCCTAAGACCTGGGAAAACACAGGATGCTGGCTGGCATGTCCTTCCTTCCTTTGAGATAGGGTCTCTCCACAGTGCAGGCTACCCTAGAGCTCACGGTGTAGACCAGACCAGCCTTGAGCTCACAGAAATCCTCTTGCCTCTGCCCCACACCCTGAATGCTGGGATTAAAGGTATGTGCCACGATGCCTGGCTAGCTGGTCTTCTGAGCCCCTGCCCCCAAGCTCCAGAGGCAATGGCCAAGGTCACCCCTGCTAGAGAACGGGTGTCACAGGATTTGATGCACATTTTCTTGTCTACACCATGTGTGGCTGTGCTGTTTGCAGCCATCCCCAGCAAATGCAGAATCCGGGCAGTACACAGCACTGTTCATGTGCCCCTCACCCAGAATGACAGTGCCCATCAGATGCCCTTCCTGAGTCTGATCCCCACTCACAGAAGCAGCAGCTGAGCGTGCAGGCCCTAGTTTATCAAGAGACTTGGGAGAGCTCCACGGTCCCAGCCGAAGGTTTTATCTCTGAGCACTAACTGCTACAACAAATTCACAGTGTATAATTAGACTTAAAACCTAGTAGTTTGCTTAGAAAAAAAATTAATTAAAGCAGCATTTCCCTAAAGAGTTTCAAACTAAAATATTACATAAAGGCAAACTAGCCGACCTCACGATGCTGGAAGGGTAAGTCAAACTAGCCAACCTCATGATGGGGAAGGTTAAGAGATATGGAGGAAAACCTGACTGTAGAGGTTTCTCATCCTGCCGTGTGGAAAGGATGGACAGTCTCTTCTGTCCCACCAGGGGAGTATGTAATAGTGAGAAAGGAAAAGGCTCGCTCCCTGCACCTCCGCGCCCCTGTCTATGTAGTTAGAGGTAGGTCTAGCCGTTAGCCCTAGTTGGCTTGGTGCTGCGTGTGGAGAACTAGATTACTTTCAAATCTGCAGTGATGTTCCTGCCTCAGCCTCCCAAGCTGTATACCCATTTTTTTAAGTTACGCGCTTCTAATTGAAGGGCCCTAAAGGTAAACTGTTCTCTGAGTACTGTGGAAACTGCCAGGCTCCGCGCTGCCATAGCATGCTGCAGAACGTTCTTGGGGAGGACATTTCCCATGTAATGGGAACAGACTCCTTTTAGGACATAGTCC